CTTTATCTCTGTTCTTTATCTTTTATCTCTCACATCTTCCTCTCTCTCTCTTACTCTAGCTTTTATTCACTCTCTTTCTCTCCCATTCTCTTTCTCTCTCCTATCTATCTATCTCTCCCTTTCCATCATCGCTTTTATCTCTCACATTCTTTTCTCTCTCTTACTCTAGCTTTTATTCACCTCTCTTTCTCTCCCATTCTCTTTCTCTCTCCTTCTAATTATCTCTCCCTTTCCACCATCGCTTTTATCTCTCGCATTCTAGTTTCATTCACCCTCTTTCTCTCCCACGACTTTTTTTTGTCTATCTCGTTCTCCTCACTTTTATTTTCTATTTTATCTTTGTCTTCCTTTCACCCTTCCTATCTCTCTCAATCTATCTCCATTCACTCTTTCTCTTCTGCAGTCCTTCTCTCTCTCCCCACCTCCCCTTCCTCCTCATTTTTATCTCTTTATCGTCTCGCCCCCTTTTATCTCTCCCTTCGTCCCCTTTCCTCCTCTTTTATCTCTTTATCTCACCCTCGTCTCGCCCTCCCCCTCCCCCCTTTCCTCCCGTCTTTTATCTCTTTATCTCACCCTCGCCCCCTTCTATCTCTCTCCTCCTCCCCTTTCCTTCTATCTCTCCTTTCCTCCCCTTTCCTCCCGTCTTTTATCTCTTTATCTCACCCTCGTGTCGCCCCCACAGGTACTTCCGAAGTGAGACCCACAACATCAAGGCAGAAGTCGAGGCCATTCACAGCAACATCATCGAGACAGCAGGAGCAGAGTTATCCATGTTGGATCAGATCGTTCTTTTCAAGTAAGGAAAAACGTGAGAGGGGAGGGAAGGGAGGGACGGGAGGGAAAGGGGAGGGAGGGACGGGAGGGAGGGGAGGGGGAGGGAAGGGAGGGGGGAGGGAAGGGGGAGGGAGGGGGAGGGAAGGAGGGAAGGGAGGGAGGGAGGGGGAGGATGAGAGAGAGAGAGAGAGAGAGAGAGAGAGAGAGAGAGAGAGAGAGAGAGAGAGAGAGAGGGGGGGGGGGAGAGGGAGAGAGAGGGAGAGAGAGAGAGAGAGAGAGAGAGAGAGAGAGAGAGAGAGAGAGAGAGAGAGAGAGAGAGAGAGAGAAGGGGTGAGAAAGAGAGAGAGAGAGAGTGGGAGAGATGGAGAGATGGAGAGAGTGAGAGAGAGAGAGAGAGAGAGAGAGAGAGAGAGAGAGAGAGAGAGAGAGAGAGAGAGAGAGAGAGAGAGAGAGAGAGAGAGAGAGAGAGAGAGAGAGTGGGATAATGATGGAGTGTGTTATTTACTTTAGGAATAAAAAAAAAACGCACATATTTGCTATTCATGCACAGTATCACCGCCGCCCCTATTCACACCCTTTTAAGAAAAGGAAATAATCAAATCCAACACACCAACTATATCCTTCACGCCCACGAATACCATTCACGCCCACCAAAGAAAACACCTACACCCACCAAAGAAAACACCCACACCCAAGCCCATCCCCCACACCCACACCCAAGCCCATCCCCACACCCACACCCAAGCCCATCCCCACACCCACACCCAAGCCCATCCCTACACCCAAGCCCATCCCCACACCCACACCCAAGACCATCCCCCACACCCACACCCAAGCCCACACCCACACCCAAGCCCATCCCCCACACACACACCCAAGCCCACACCCACACCCAAGCCCATCCCCCACACCCACACCCAAGCCCATCCCCCACACCCACACCCAAGCCCATCCCCCACACCCAAGCCCATCCCCCACACTCACACACGAATCTCTGTCCCCACCCCCTTCCCTAACCCCCCAAAGCCCACCCACAACCACAACCCCCCACCCCCCCGACCCACTCTTCCCTTCACAAATATAAACTCTCCCCTTTTTACCCAACAGGAAGCCCCAAAATTGGAAACCTGTTCTGATCGTGTTTCTGGTGTTCATGTGCGGTCAGTTCAGTGGTTTTGCTGTCGTTACTGCTTATACTGTGGACATCTTCGACCAGGCTAACACTAACATCGACCCCAACACGGCCACCATTATTGTTGGCTTCGTCAGGTAAGAGTTTAATTTATATTGGGGGGGGGGGGTATTCAGGTTTTTTTTTCCTAAGGGTTTAATGGTGTTTATGAGTGATATGTTATGATAAGGTTTTTTTTTTTTCTGATGGTCTATTGTGATTATGAGTGATTATGTCATGATAGGAAATGAATCGATGATCCGTTCCGTTCGGGAAATATCCATTGTTGCGTGATAGAGGATCAATATTGATTGATTGATTGCAAGGATAGATATCTCAGCGAGGTTTAGGTCATTAGCATATCAAACGGCTGTCTCATTGCTCTTCCTCTCTCTCCCCCTCTTCCTCTACCTCCACCTCCACCACCACCTATACCTCCACCTCCTCCTCCTCCTCCTCCACCACCTCCACCTCCCCCACCACCCCCATCCCCACCCCTACCCCCCCACACCACCTCCCCCTCCACCTCCTCCTCCTCCACCTCCCCCTCCACCA